TTAGCATACATGTAAAATCCATCGTCTCAATCACTGTCCAGAGTCTTTTTAAGAAACTTGGCTCTCATGAAATATTCGTTAAAACTAATAATATCCAGAATTGTTTACACGATTAACATTTTATGCTCGTTCGTACAATTACGAGCTAACATTAATGTCTAGACGATATCTCTAATGAGTGAGAACTTAATTGACATACAGTAGACCGCATCACCCGTCCAATTTAAATTGTTTTACAATAGTCGATTTTCTGGCTCAAAAATTACCTTGGACAGCATTTTGTCTTATCTGGTCTACCTGAGCTCTATATGCACTGACGCTATAAGAAATTTCGTTCGCACGTGCCTTGTAAAAACAAAAAGATGACAAAGAAAACAGAAAATATGTCCATCACTAAAAATTGTCTTTCTCAATTTTTTTCGCCTCTTATAAATATATCTTTCTAATAAAAGATAATTGCTGAAAATGTTTATATTTCCGCAATTTGACGATCGCCAAATTAAAATGGTCGCCAATTTAGCAACTTTTAGAGAAGTTTAGGCGCCAGTCAAAATTTTTAATAGCCATGGCGACTGAATTAGTCGCCAATTAGAGCCCTGCAATAACATGTCAAAAATGAACTAATCATATAAATTAATCTGTTACATTCAAATTTCAAACAAACTGAAGTCATTTTTGAAGGGTTAATTGTCTTATGTTTACACTTGATGATACAAGGTTAAATTGTAAGTAATGAATTAAATTTAATAGTTACTCAAGTTATACTTGTAAACCTGGACAGGAACATGTACAGTTTAACCTTTTTATCAACCGCTTTACGGTTCGTAAAGCATTATTTTCCTCAAACCAGTTTATAAGCATAACTTGGCTATAAAATTAATTTCTTAAAAGTCTGAAGAGAAATGAAAATATTAAGGCCAGATTTTTCTTCGAACATGTTCAACATTTATATGACACCAGGACTTGGGGGGGGGGGGGGGGGGGTTAAGAAATTTTAGAATTCTTTGTAACAGACAGAGCAAAAATTAACATCTGTACACGTCACTCAACAATCCAAAACATTTGCGTCACTCAACAATCTGCAACATTTGCACTTTGGAATGTATGACTCGCTGATGAATCTTGATGACAGCAGGTACAGTCTGTCAAATGTGTACCAAGGAGTTAGAGAATGCTTTGCAGATACAGGTGCTGTACACCACCAATCTTTAGGTGAAGGCAGTTGAATGGTGTGGGGAGGCATAACAAATTGTACGTCGACATGATGGAAGATCAGTGTTTGTGATCATCGTTGGAAATCTAACAGGAATTCCATGAGACTAAATTACTATATATGTCTTGCCCTTTATAATAATGTGGTTAACAGCAGATTGCAACAAGACAGTGCAAGATCCCATGTTGCATTTGTTATTACTAGTATTCACAACATATTATAATGAAATATCTTGGCCTGCTTTCCCCCTTGATTAATCCCTAAATCCCCAAGTAACGGGCAGAAATGAGACCATGGTTTGGGTCAACTCGATTAATTTTAAGCACAAGAAATTTTGACGATTCAGTATTACATACCGGTAATTAACAATAATGAACATAATAAACTCCAGATTACAGGATAAACAAAGATGAACATAATAAACTTCAGAACACTGAATATCTATAAATATAAATTATGTGAGAAATTTTCACTACACTAACCACTCATACCCCACTCACTCTCACAGTCAAGGAGGGAAGTGTGAATTTAAAAAAAATCGGCGTTTTTTTCCTTTTTTTTTTTGTTTGTTTGTAAATGACGTCTAAGTGGTAAGTCTTTTTTAATGTAAGACAAATACTACAATCTCATTGTCAAAAATTCAAACTATTGTCCATACTAATTTCATTTTGGCAAAGCGATACAAAACAAAATTTAATTGGACACACATCTTGCTTTTCTAAGGGACGTTGATGTTAGTCCGGAAACCAAAACTAGGACTTGGGCCTGCCCCTAGGGGTCTTTACTGGCAGGAAGTAAACAAAAACATAAACAAATGTGGCAGTACAGATTTGATAATAAATATTAAATTACTTTAAATATTAAAATTAATCTCTAAATCTTAAAATTATGAAAAATATAAGATATTGGTTTGGGTAAACGGATGATTTATTTTAATTACAAGAAATTTGACGATTTAATGTTACTTATAAACAATGATGAACATAACAAGCTGCAGAACATTGAATATCTATACATATAAATCATGTGAGAAATCTCAAAAATCTTCACCAATTAAAAATTAATGTTTTTGGTTGATGAAGGTAAATTCAAAAGCAACCAAAAACACTGCTGACATTGGTTGAAGTGGGATTTGTATGTACATTTTTTTAAAAATATATTTATATTATTGATCTTTATTTCTTCATTCATAAATAGCAAAACTGCCATATTTGACCAATGACACGTTGCATATGACTTAAATTTACTATTATGTATGCATCATAATTTAAATAGATTTGTGTTTTTCAATCCTGGTAGATACAAGATGAAACTTTATTCATTAAAAAAATAAATAGATGATATTCAATGATTTTTAGTTGGATATGAAATTTATTTAATGAGTGGGACAAGATTTTTTAAAAATATTTTCATGAGTGCAAAGCACGAGTCAAAATATCTATAGAAAAAAATATATATAGAAAAAAATCTTTAAATTCTTCTTTTTAAGAACATCAAAGCCATGATTAGACGTATTTGTTTTGGAAGAATCATCAGACAGTGCAGATTCAAGCTGGTTCAAATCAAGACCCCTGGGGCCAAGGTCGGGCTACATTAGACGATCAAAGTTTTACAAACGAATAATTATATAGGATTAATTGATTTGATGTTGTTTAAAGCTGACATGAACTCTTGAATATGTGATATTTTCATCCTTGTACGACTTATTTTATTCCCGTACTCCCTTTTCCGCCATATTTCAGTTTCGCTCACTTTTTTTTACCGGCTATATAAACCCTGATGCCTTTTTTACACTTGAGTGATTTTCTAGCCTGGCTGTCTACATGTACATATCTCCGATTGCAAAGTTTTGGAACACGCCATGAACTGACCGAAACATGTAGGCCTGTACACATCTCCGATAAAGCAGTTTTGGAACATGCAATAAATCTAACAATCCTACCAAAACTAGGAATTTTAATGAAAATTGGAAAGGAGTATATAAATTTTGAATAATTAAGATGCAATGCATAATAAATCAGTATCATAAGCTGTTACGTCATGGTTCAGCGGTTGAGACGTCGTAGCTTACATTCTAATCATTATTTTGAGGAACTTTGGCAGTTTAAGTGTCTGTCAGGATAGTTAATTTACACACACACACACACACTCTCTCTCTCTCTCTCTCTCTCTCTCTCTCTCTCTCTCTCTCTCTCTCATAGAACAGGCCAGGGAATACTAGTATTTTCTACAATGAAATATATGGAGAACAGTATTCAAGCTCAAATGTCCAGTAAACAATACAAATCAGGAGCAGAGCAAACAGGGACCTCTAAAATGTCAGAGGTGGGATCAGGTACCATGGAGGAGTGAGCATCCCCTGCCGACCGGTCACACCCGCAGTGTGCTCCTTGTCATGATCAGGAAATAACGGAAAAATCCGTCGACAATTCAGTGTGTAAATAATGGTCTAACAATTAATATGAAAAACGTCAGGCAGCATTTGACTTAATGATAGATTGTATTTGCTGACAAGTTCATTGTATCGACCATAGAACTTACGAAATGATGACTAATATTCTTGTTTAATCAACTTGTTTGTCAATAACTTATCTCATTGTAGAAATTGTTAATACATAGAGCATGCTCTTGCGTATCGAATCAACTGAGTGAGATAAACCCCGTATGAAGGTGATAAGGGTACATCATTCTTTTTGAACGGAAGGAAAATGGAGAGTTTTGCAGCAATTCTGATATTTTTTCACAAGGTGACGAAATACCACTTTCATATCCTTTCACATTGTGAAAGAATATCACTTTTATTTAATAAAACAATTATAGTGTTTCCCTGTTGAAAATGTAATAAACAATTAATTGGAAAATGAAAATGAGGCCGTTTATTTTTCAAATAAAAGTAAATCAACACTCTTGATTCCCCAATTAATTTGAAAATCAATATAAATTTGATGCCTTTTATTAGTCCCCTACCGGTGAAACCGGAGGGGACTATTGGTTTCCTCTGAGTAATATCCGTCCGTCTGTCTATCTTTCTAGCTGTCCCTCTGTCTGTCTGTCAGTCTGTCCCACTTGGTTTTCCGCACTTTTTTTTTCTAAACGCTTGTAGATATTGAGCTGATTTTTGGTATGTGAGTGTATCTTTATGTGTTACAGATCAAGTTTCCATTTCCTTCCTGTTCAATGATTTTTGACGGAATTACGACCTTTTTAATTTTCAGGGTTTTCCGCATTTTTTTCTAAACGCTTGTAGATATTGAGCCGAATTTTGGTATGTGACTTTACCTTGATGAGTAACAAATCAAGTTTGAATTTCCTTTCGCTTCATTGATTTTTGACGGAATTATGGCATTTTCAATTTTTAACCAGATTACACTTGCCGGTAGGGGACTAGTATTGCTAATGCAATACTCTCAGAATGCTTGTTTTTAATGCTTCGATATTAAAGTAAATCAACACTCTTGCCCCCCCCCCCCCCACCTTAAAAAAATATTCATGATTATTTTATTACGATGATGATGATGATGATACTGTACTCATTTAGATCAAACATTTTAATTTATATATTTTAAGATTACTATGTATAACACGTTTAAACATGGCTCCACTTTTGCTAAACTCCATCTTCATGAAATTTTGCTAGGTATTTACTATAATTTTGTTTGATTTTCTTTTTCTTTTGGAGTAGTACAACTTTTTTCCTTTAATAATCTTATATTTTTTAATTGTGAAATGCAGCTTTAGGAGACATCTTTGTAATTGTAAATCCTGATACAATTCATTTTTTTAACAGTTTATGAAAATGCTGAAGAAATGGCGATGAAGACGATTGACAAAGATAATGTTTATTCGAATGCAAGTGAAGTTCCACGTACAACTCCTGGAAGAGGATACAAGGTATAAGTTACAACTTAAATTTCAGATACCGATACATATTTATATCTATATACGTATTTGTATATTATAACTTCAACTTAGTGATTTAGGTCACCTATTGCTTTCTGTATTCTTCCGACGTCATGCAACTTCCTTTGCTCAAATTGTAAAAGATCTAGAAGAAAATCTCAATCGGTAGCTTAATGTTTGGTCTTTAATTTACACGTACTCTGGTGATGCACTTTTCCTCTAAAGGTGGGTATTTATTGATTGATTGATTGTATGTTGTTTACGTCCCATTTGAAAATTTTTCACTCATATAGAGACGTCACCATATACCGGTGAAGGGCTTCAAATTCTAACCTTTACTCGGCACTCAGGGTCATTGAGCAGTGAGGGATCTTTATCGCTCCAACGCCTGCCGAGGCATGGGGCCTCGGTTTTTAAGGTCTTATCCGAAGGACCCGGAACTTTCACTTTAAAGTGCCGAGCGCATGGCAAAGGAACAGTTGCTTCCCAATTTTTTATCGACTTAGGTCAATCGCGACCGAAATTCGAACTCACGACCTCCCGATCACGGAGCGAGCGCTCTACTGACTGAGCTACCGTGAACGGTAAGGTAGGTATTTAAAAACTTCATATTTTATCCTCCAAAATTGAAGGATAAACTATCCAGCAATGCTTTGTGACTTTCCATATAAGAAAAAAGGCTACAATATTGATTTTTGGCAATTCTAAGAAACCGGAAGCCGACAAGCCACTGGACCAGAAAAGATAAAACTTCATTGAAAGCTTCATTACAAAGTGTAGATTCAAGTTTAAATCATAATTATGACTCGCAGTTCTTGGGTAGAGCCACAACAGCCTATCAAAGTTTTACATAGGAATATATATAGAAAAAAATCTTTAAATTCTTCTTCTTAAGAACAGCAAAGCCATGATTAGACATATTTGTTTTGGAAGAATCATCAGATAGTGCAGATTCAAGCTGGTTCAAATCAAGACCCCTGGGGCCAAGGTGGGGCTACATTAGACGATCAAAGCTTTACAGACGAATAATTATATAGGATTGATTGATTGGATGTTGTTTAAAGCTGACATGAACTCTTGAATATGTGATATTTTCATCCTTGTACGACTTATTTTATTCCCGTACTCCCTTTTCCGCCATATTTCAGTTTCGCTCACTTTTTTTACCGGCTATATAAACCCTGATGCCTTTTTTTACACTTGAGTGATTTTCTAGCCTGGCTGTCGACATGTACACGTACATATCTCCGATTGCAAAGTTTTGGAACACGCCATGAACTGACCGAAACATGTAGGCCTGTACACATCTCCGATAAAGCAGTTTTGGAACATGCAATAAATCTAACAATCCTACCAAAACTAGGAATTTTAATGAAAATTGGAAAGGAGTATATAAATTTTGAATAATTAAGATGCAATGCATGTTTGATATATATATATATATATATATATATATATATATATATATATATATATATATATATATATATATATATATATATATTAAGCACATTTTTACTAACTCTTAAACTAACATAACTGCCTTAAGTGAAGAAATATTAATACAGAAAGCATAAGGAAATTCACTTTTATAAGGATACCCACTTCCGCCCCAGCCCGGGGTTGAACTCTCGACCTGCGGAATCTGTCTCCTGGCGGTGACTGTGTAGTGTAGGACAGCGCCGCGAGAATTCCATCGGCATCAAAAGCAAGTTTTTGACTTGCCTAGATAGCCGAGCGGTCTAGCGCGCTGTTCCTGTACTCCTAGGAGACAGATTCCGTAGGTCGAGAGTTCAACCCCGGGCTGGGGCGGAAGTGGGTATCCTTATAAAAGTGAATTTCTTTGTGCTTTCTGTATATTTTAGGAATGACTCTAATTCTTGGCCAAATTATTCGAGTATAACCTGGTTTGGGTCAGTTTACGCTTTATAATCCGCGAAGCGGATTATAAAACAGCGTAAACTGACCCAAACCAGGTTATACTCGAATAATTTGGCCAAGAATTAGAGTTATTCCTTATAATTTAATTTTAAAATCATTAAATAACTATAGGTGTAAAATTTCGTTACTTTTTATCAGTTCAAATTTGCCGCTCAATAATACAACCATAGTAACGGAAGCGGAAGTGATGGGAATCGAGGGGAGGTAAAAACTGATACATAGGCATAGCAGCCATGTTGTTTGGTTACATGTGGTAAGATCGAATTATTGTTTGAAATTAAAGGTACATTTATTAAATCTGGAATTTTCCATGAATCCCGAGGACTGAAAATGAGAGGATTGTATGGATACAGATGATTCAGCTGGTTGTCAGGGGGGTGTGTCCCCATACCAAACCAGGTTATACAGAAATAATTTGTGTTCCTTTTTAGATATTAACCAATCAGAGGCTAGTATACAAACAATATTAAATTATATATATATATATATATATATATATATATATATATATATATATATATATATATATATATATATATATATATATATATATATATATATATATATATATATATATATATATATATAAATTTGAACAATAAAGAAGAAAAGGCTACCACAAGCATTTCTTCCAAATAACACTGTATTGTTCAGCTTTATGCATGCTTCACGGTATAAGCACATACTATGCAACTTACGCATTCAAACAATACATGAAATTATTCCCGAGAAAACGCGTCGAACGCTTTAAACTCATCTGCCTGAAATACTGCTATCGCTACAGGGATGTGCACATGTCGAAAGAATTACTTCCTATTTCCCTTTTATTGAAATATGCATCACGGAAGAAATAACTCCATTTGTAACTCAACGGTAAACACATTGTCCCTAGCACTTGAACACACGTGGTTCCTGCCGATCAGCATTTTTGGTCAGGGAATATATCGAAGGTGGAAATGACAGTGGTATTTGCCTGATTAGACAATATAGTCACGCAAATAAAACGTTTCAGAAATCGAACTAACTGTTGTCGGTACATGCATATGTAGTAAATATGTTCATGAATGTGGCTTCACTACATCGAATTTATTACATAAACATACATTCTTGTTACGGATTTTACATCTTTTAAAGTAAATGAAAGGGGGGTGGAATTTTAGAATACTTTTTTTCAATATATTTTAAACAAACGTCAGAAAAAGGTCGGATTTTCCTTGATCAAATATATTTAAATACGTGCAATGAACTGGCCTCAACTATTTTAGATATAAAATTAATATATCTTAAATTTACACACACTGAACAATTTGTTTCTGTAGACAGATTATTTTCAAATCAAGGTCCTTTTAGGCGTCACAAATTACAAGCACGATTAATACAATTACCAACAACCACAGACATAATTATGTGTATATAAAATAATCTACAGTACATGTTTTTGTATATATTGACGTTGAGCAAGTATTACACCTTAATACAGTTATTGACTGGGTATGAGGGCAACATATGATTTGTTGGACCAGAAGATGAAAATGTTGCCCGAGGCCGTAGGCCAAGGGCAACATTTCCACTTTCAGGTCCAACAAATTATATGTTGCCCGAATCCCACTCTATAACTGTTTTTATACCCTTCACTTCAGATAGAACAATTTAAATGAAAATATTTGAACAGATTTAATCAATATGTAATCAATTACTTTCTTTGGAAAATTTTGGCCTGATCAATAAAAATAAAACAATAGGAGAGAATGAAAAAATTAAAAATAAAATCATTATATCACAAAAATTATTTATCACAAAACAAACTCTTTCATATAGTAAACAACTCTTGCAGCTCTAAACTTCGGTTATTTCCGTGTCGCCGATATTGAACGACGATGGACTACTTGTGACGTAGCAGTGACGTTGCGGTCTAGCAATTCTTATGTTGGACTTGCAGGCCAGTCAACAATAAAATTGTTAGACCGCATCACTAAACATTTCTTTTGTTGGACTTTTTATTGGTAATAAATATATAGAAAGATATTTATAAGGGTATAACAATAGTATATATGAAAGTAATATTGATAATTTAAATAGTTCTACCGTGTACCCAAATGTAAAGTGGGGTGATTCAACAATTCTCGCATTGCCAAAGATATCACGAGACGATGCAATAGTGCTAATGATTACATTACGTAAGTGTTTTATTTTTTTTAAAAATTACACATATTTACATGTTCTAGATATTTAAAGAAACTTTATAATGTGACTGAATGATTAAAATATGGTTGCGTGCATGTGTATTATTTCTTTGAATATTACATAATTAATAGTCAAAGTTTATAGAACAGAAAAACAACGTGTCCACGAGAGTGTCCACCCCCCCCCCCCTTCCTAAAAAAAGTTTTGTTTGTTTTAATTTGATATTGGTTTTTTTTTCTTGTCTAAAAATTTCTGGTAAGAATCCTCTGTGCTTTTCAGACCTTCTAATAGGTATAAAGGAACAAAAAACTGACTTTTTTCCTCTGGAAAGTACGTGAGTAGGGTCCACAAGTTTCTATTCCCGTGAAATATAGTTTTCAGAATTGTTAAGTTCCCCTTTCCTTTGGGTGTTTAGGGTTTTTTTTTTCTTTTCTTTTTTTCTTTTTTTTTTTTTGGGGGGGGGGGGCTTGTCAAAAACAGGAGACAATTTTTTTTTTCAGCAGGTTTGATCCACTCTGCCCCAGAAAAATTCCTTGATCTGCTATTATAAAGACTATATAGCATTTCCAAAGATTTTTAGTACATCGGATTTTATATGCATTATTGCTCTTACATGTGTGGATGCTTACACATGAGAGAGAGAGAGTATACTTGTATGGAAAATGCAAAAAATATTTATCCATAATTTTGCGGTTAAGGTTTCAAGTAATCCTTAAACTATTAAGATTTTCTGAAAATACAAGAAATTGAATAGGTAGCAAATTTTAGACTGCCTGCGGCAACTCTCCAATCTGCTTCCTATACATGCATATAAAACAGGCACGTAGCTCCGTTTCTCAAAATATGTGTATGCGAGGGGGGGCGGG